TTTACAAATTTTAGATCTTGGAAAATAATACAATACTGTTAACATGTATTCATTAAGCAGATGCTTTTATCAAAAAATAGGAAAATAACAATGTACATAGAAAACCACATTAAAAATGTTGTGATACTAAATTTCAAACTACTTAAAGATGTGGCCACATTAGTGAAATCTGCAACCAAAAAGGTCCGTTGGCAATAGTATAGCGATGTATGAAGCACATCTCACAAAGTCACTTTTAAACCAAGCAGCTTTCTGTTGATCAACTTGGCAAATTCGAGTGTCCAATTTGCTGTGATAAAGAAAAAAAAAATTGAGTGGTGGTGTTGTGTATACGGAGATGAAGAGGGAGCCCAACAATGAAACCTGAGGCACCCCAGTGGTTAGCTAATGTGACAGGCACCAACCCTTCAGAAAACTTTAACGGATCTTGAACTTGGACTCAAACCAGCAAAGATGGTCAGTTCAGAGAGGGTGGACAGGAAGATGTGGTGTGTCGAAAGTACCAGACAGGTCTAGAAGGATGAGGATGAATGATTTGAAATTAGCTCCGGTCGCAGAGTTTGAGTGACAGACAGCAAGAAAAAAGACCACTATTAGTCCAGTTTGGTTGTATGTGTTTTTTTCCACAAGATGTTTGTGTTCTGTGGGGAAAATAATGTTGAATTACTACTGCTATTTTTAACCATACAGCTGTGTCTAAGTGTGCATCATGCAGCATGAGTAATAATACATACAGTATAATGTTCCTGTAGTCTTGTGTACCCATATATTTGAGCAGACTTTATTGGGATTGGTCAATACCAGGGTTCTTCAAATCCTTTCCCTGAGGGCCTTACCTATGATTTTCTAGGGATCCTGAAGCCTGTGATGAGCTTGCTCAGATGTGTGTCATTAGGGTTGAGCTAAACCCTGCAGGGCATTGGTCCTTTAGGCCAAGATTTGAGAAACCTTGGTCTATACTTATTCTGGTCAGGAACCAATTAATTTGTTTTTCCATGGTCATCCCCTCATTGTGTAACATATTTCATATAAACCCACATAAGCATGAAAACAACATTTTCATGCCACATGTCAGTCAGACAATTTCAAACTAAGCTGGATCAGACTTCACACAGAACAGGACAGAAGACTAAACACTATAAAACACACCCACTGCAATAAACGGTGTGTGACTATATCACACAGTGGAAGTGCTCAATTTGAGTTTCAGAAATCCTGCTGATGATAACAGATCTCCAATTGGGTTGATTATGGACTTGAGCTGACTGATTCTGAAGCCTTAAAGTTGGCACAGAATGTTAAGAATGATATTAAGGCCACGTCTCCATGGAGAAATGGTTTTAAGGCTGGATATTCATGGGTAAGAGGAGGGGTAATGCTGGGCTTCCATGATGAAAATGTTTTGGCACAGGGGGATGTTGAACAGCATCAGATGAAAGAAATGTTACAGTTCTCTTCTAAACAGCCTTCTGATTTCTTTCAGGGAGCTTTTACAAGATAAAAAAGTGTGTGTGTGTGTGTGTGTGAGAGAGAGAGAGAGAGAGAGAGCTGTCACAGTGGAGTGTGTGTTCATCATTATTAATAAATTGGGGAATTGGATGTATGAGCACTCGTGCAACGAGTTAGTGAACATGTGTATATGTGTGTGTGCTCCAACAAGACGTTAAAATGAAATTATGTGGAAATAAATGAAGATTGATTGTGGTCAGTTTATCTCTACATTGTATATAGTGTTGTAGTTGTGTGTTATTGTTACTGAGAAGGCATCCACTGTCTCCATATTCTGGAGCATAAAGGATTAGTTGACCCAAAAATGAAAATTAGCCCATGCTTTGCTCACCCTCAAGGCATCTGTGCTTATGACTTTCTTTCATACGAATCCAATCAGAGTTATATAAAAAAATTCCCTGGCTCTTCCAAGCTTTATAATGGCATTGGTGGGTGTTTTTGTTCAGCAGTCCAAAAGTAGTCAAATAAAGCGCATCCATCCATATTAAAAAGTGCCTCACATGGCTCCGGGGGGTGAATAAAGGCCTCCTGTACTGAATCGATGCTTTTTTGTAAGAAAAATATCCATATTGATATTGATATGAGTAAAACAAGGGCTAATTTTCATTTTTGGGTGAACTAACTCTTTAACATCGCACCCGATGAGGATCTACAGAGGTTTATGATGATATAATATATCTCTCTACATCAAATCTTCTCCTTTAATGGCCCCATGCAACAGTTTGAATTTTCACAATTTTGTGTCCCTTTTCGGGGTGGGAGATACTTTAGCTAAAACCAATTCCCTATAAAGAACCGGCCTAAAGCAGCTTTAGCTAAATTAAAGAATCACACAAATTACAGTTCAGTTTTGGTCAAACATTTATCTCTCCTCACTTACTGTACAGTAGAAAATAGGGGTGTAACAAAATTCAAACCGAACCGATACACCACCAACAGTACCGCGATACTCTAATGTGTACCGAACGACCCCCACCCAAAGAGTGAATCAAATAATAAATCAGCCCTAGTAGATGCATAATTTACGATTTTCAGTGCTAATCGTATTAATAACAAGATGCTGCATTACACAACAATGGTTTATTAGACTTAACAGTTATTAATCTATTAAACATGAGGTCAGTTGAGACTTAAAAAAAGAAAGTACAAACAGTTAACATTAAGACCAGTACAAAGTCACACATTTTCAGTTTTTATGAAGCTGAAAAAATACAGACTGTAACATGCATGTGATGATGATAATAATGTAGAATAGCTCATATTATTAATTGAGATATACTTTCATAAGACTATTCCAAATTATGTGCAGCTTTAATTAGTTTTAACTAAGTTCATTCATTTTGTGAATGCATTAAACATATGCATGTTCAAATTATCAAATAACTAAGAGACAGATCACAAATTCTTAAACCCCCTAAGAATTCATAATGACTGAGTGCATTCAACAGACATTGATAGAACATTGATAGAACATGGTGGATTCATTAGATGTGTACATACAGTAGCAATGCATAGAGCTGTACAGTATTTTTCAAGCATATTTTAATATACACCAAGCAGTATCACTCACAATTTTTTCCTCTGGAGTTTTTGGATTTCATCTTAAAAAAATATTTGCTTTAATATGTACATTAATGCTCAAAAAGGCCTAGTTCATAATTTGTACAGATGTGTGTCCAGGACCATCCATCAGTGACAGCTGTATTGTGGAGATGATGAAGGTGGGGTTTTAAATTATTTGTTTTAGTCGTAACACTTTACAATAAGGTTCCATTAATCAATGTTAGTTAATGCATTAACTAACATGAACAAACAATGAACAATATATTACAGTATTTATAGTTCTTTGTTAACGTTAGTTAATGCAAATACAGTCGTTCATTGTTAGTTCATGTTATTAGTAAATGTTGAAATTAACATTAACTAAGATTAATACATGTTGTAGAAGTATTGTTCATTCTTAGTTCACGTTAACTAAAGTAGTTAACTAACTAACCTTATTGTAAAGTGTTACCATTTTAGTTTTAGCTGTGAGATGCTGCTGCTTACACTGTGCTCAAAAAATTAATACACAAATGATAGCACTTTGCCAAATTCAGACACAAAATAACACAGATGACAGCATTTTCTAGAAATGATTTAATATGAAATATAAACACTTGATGGATGAATCACCAGGTCTTATTGTAACCCAAAATAAAACATAAAACAATAATTATAATAATTTGGGTCATTAGGCATTATGACATTATTTTAATAAAGCAGTGTATTAAAATGAAAAATAAGTCCTAAAAATAATGATGACATAATAAAAACTATGAATTTTTTCATGAACCCCCCCCCCCCCAATTTTCCAATTTACTTGAAAATGTATTAACTAAATTCAGATGAAGTAGATACAACACAAATAAATCCTCCATAAACTAAAACCACATAAACTGAACTGTGGTGTTGAAATACTTTGAAAAAAAAAAATGCTGAGACAAAATGTATCAAGAGCTGTATGAATGTCTGTTTTTTTTCTGTTTACATATTTTTCTGTTTCCTTAAAGTGATAGTTGACCCACAAATGAACATTTTGTTATCACTTACTAACCATGTCTAAATATCTTTCTTCTGTTTAACACAAAATAAGATATTTTAAAGAATGTTGATAACCAAACAGTTACTGGTGGCCATGGACTTCCATAGTATACAAAACATTACTTTATAGTTAATTCATTGTTTATAAACTGTAGTTAATGCATTAATAGACTCTATACAACTAGTGAGTTCTTTATTAATTTTCACTGTAATTAACAAATTGATATTGTTTAATTAGCTCATATGCAAAGAGTCAGATAATGCTTTGTTAGCAACTTATTAACCGCAAATATAGTTTACAATTTTACAACCTTTGCATTAACTGCATTAGTATGAAGTGTTCTCAAACTAAGCTCGTGCTCCACTCGTCACCATAACAGAAACGCTTCTAAATTAGCAACATAGCAACATTAAGCATGACTACATCTTCCACTTAGCATTATATATATATATATATATACACACAGTATATATACACTCTAAAGAGTGCCGGGTTGTTTCAACCCAACTTTGAGTCAAATATGGACTATCCCAACTTTTGGGTTAAAAATGTTATGTAAAAATTTAACCCAACGGTTGGGTTAGTCCATATTTTACCCAAAGTTGGGTTGAAACAACTTTAACATTTTTAGAGTGTAATTATATATACACCTAATTGTAGCCTTTACTCTTCTTTATGAGTGCCATGGCAAAGCATGATGCAAAATAGAAATCCTCAGCCTGATTCCAGTTAAATTTAAGTTAAATTAAAATAAACAAGTTTAGTAAATTCAAAAGAATGCAACAATTCATTTACCTAAAATGTACCAGTTTTGTGTTCAACAGAAGAAAGAAACTAAAGGTTTGGACTTGGAGTGAGTAAATGATGACAGAAGTTTCATTTTAGGGCAAATATCCTTCAGTTCAAACAACTTGTAAAAGTGCATGTAGCATCCTATGACCCCTTTAAGGCAGGTCAGGTACATATTGCTGCCTTACTGAAAGAGATCAAGTTAGTTTTGAGAAACAGCAGCAAGTAATACAGTTGGCGTACAATCCACTGGCCAACACACAATCCCTTCAGGTGCTGTAAGGAAAGCGGAGCAGAGTTAAACTTCTGTGGAAGTTAACACAATCACTCCATCTCCACAGAAACATAAGGGCTACTGTCAAAGATATGACGTGTAGGATATCAAGAGGCACCAGAACTCCCACACAGGATGAGCAGCATAGATAGCCAGTGACACATGCTCAGATCAGAGACAGCAAGCGTTTAAACCTCGCCAAGGGCTGTGTTCTGACCCCAGACCAATGAATCTGAGAGCTAAAGGAAACAGTCCAGACACGAACAGAGACACAAACCTGGCTACAAATGGGTCAGCAAATGGGCTGTGTGTGGTTCTCCTGATCAAAGCCTGGCTGGACTTGATCATGAACCAGAAAATGACAGTTCACAGAGCTGTGAAGAAGGCCATAAACATGACTCCAGGTCTCATGGTGTGTGGTGTGTGTTGCTGAGATTCAGGTCTGAACTGGTTGTTGCCAGCTCTGTCAGACACTCAGCGTCATGTTCCTCAGGATCCACTGCTGTGATCGCCTGCCGCTGCAGTCTCTGAGAGTGGGAACCATCTTATCCTCTTCAGAAGGCATGTCCAGACACTGGTTACTGTTCACATGGAGCAGAGTCAGCCGCTGTGGGGAAACACAGATTTACAGAGAAACGAAAAACAAACAACACTTGAAAAATAACACGTTGTGGATAAATCTCACACTTTACTCTAAGGTTTCATTATTTAAGCATGAACTAACACTGAACAATATACATTTGTTCATCTCGGTTAATGTTCATTTCAGTGCTATATATCAGGGCTATTCAATTATTTTCATTTGAGGGCCGAATTATTGAATTGAAAATTTGAAGGGGGCCAAGGGGGAGGGACGCGTCCCGATCTCTTTCTGGGGGCCTATAAAATTAGAAATGAAATTTAAATGCATATTCAGCAGTAAAATCAACTAATATTACCAACACCAAAATCTATAAAAACATTAGTATTGTCTGCAAGTCGAAAAAAAAAACGAATTAATCGCACATGTTTCGGTAATTAATCATGATTAATTGCATAAATATATTGTCATAATTTCACATTGAGTCTCCAGTTAATGTAGAAACAACCTAAAGGTGGTATATTTTAAATATGTTTAATGGCTTCTCTTTACAAAGTAACCTATTATTAACAAAGGCCAGTAATTTTGATACCAATACTGCTACTGATATTTCTATTAAATGCATTTTCACCTCAATTTTAGCCATTAATTATAGCCATTCAACATTAAAGTATAATTGAAAGACATGATTTTTAACATTTAGGCTCTCAAAAAATATAACTTTTAATTTAAGTGAACTTAAAATAATCTTCACATAAACTATAAATTGTATTTTATAGTTATGGCATAATTGTGTGTTTTTGTCGGTCGAAGAGCTGCTGGCGCGCTGTCTGAAATGGCTCAGCGCATGCGTACAGCAGAACGCGCACCCTTTAAAAACTGTACTCCATCTGATAATCATCTTCGTTCAGTGTCTGTGCTATTTCTCGCCAGAAGTTATGACGGATAACACTGTCTTTATACTCGATTAAACTAGAGTTGTGGATATCTCATAACCCTCACACAAGCGCTTGTCAACGCTGCCGTCTATTGATGTTGCGGTCTCCAGAAGGTTGTTGTTGTTCCGTCTCTTCATTTACTTTTTCGGCTGTGAAACAACGGTCTGGGCCACTGATGCCACCTTGTGGACAAACTAATTAGTGCAAAAACAAGGCGTATGTGCGACCTGCGCATACTCTTCCCTCGGGCCGGATGAAGATGTTTGGCGGGCTGCCAATTGAATAGCCCTGCTATATATAATTTATTTATTTTTCTATTTTCTTTGTAGCAACTATCAAAACAATAAATACTGTTTTGTGGCTTTTTAATGTGTTATGACAGATCGCTGTAACGCCTCAGTTCAAGCGGTACGTGAACTGATCATATTTTCATATTTACTTCCCCATGAAATCAAAATGAACGTTTTTTGGGTGTTAGTATCAATATGTTAGTCTTAAGGTTATCTATAAGGCAGTGTGCTCCAAAACAGTGACAAAATTCGCATTTAGAAGATATAAGCATTCAAAGCTTGCAGTTCGTCACTTCCTCCAAAACGGCTCAACTATTTTTTTGACGCCACATCGTACTTCATCTTCTCATCAGATCTTCTGACCAATCAAACGCTCTCTAGAAGCCGAAGCGCCCCTATACTATAAAATAGACGCTGAAGCTGCGGCTGAGATCGGTCGCTTGTTCACAGTGTAGTATTTCCTGTACAGTGAATGGCACGTAGTGTACAATGTAGGCGATAGGGAACGATCAGATAGTGTAAATATGCTTTCGATTGGGGCAAATGAGGTCTGGTTTCACATTGTGTCACACGAACCGCAGCAGCGCGCACAGTCTGATCTGGACTTTGGCTCCGGTCCAGAGACGCGATCGCACGGAGCGGATCATATGCGTGAGTCGGCAGATATTAAACACTTTTAAAACTACACAGCCTCAGCATGATTATGATCACTATTTTGTTTTACTAAGAGTTTCATATTGAATCTAGGGGGTAATCTATTAGGCTGTCAAATGCGGCTTTACCGAGCTCAATGGCAGTGCAGATTAGATGCTATTGGCTAATTTAAAAAGGGGGCGGGGCTGCTCGATATATCCCGCCCTGTCTTCCTGTTTCAGTTGAAATTACGTCACCACATAGAATAACGCTGCGTGTTTCAAGGCACTTCAGGGGACCTTTAAAGCACAAAATAAACATGAATGAACACCAGATGGTATTTTATTTCAACCGCCAGTGCTTGAAGTGGGCTTGTACGGTCACTTCTATATTTTAGTCTTTAGCATACCAGCACTTTTCCATGCATACCGGCACTTCTGACATGTTGCTTGGTTGAAATGGTGATTAGAAATGTCACTATATAAATCACACTACCAGGAGGGGTCACCTCTTATCTCGACAATTCACGTGAATGCAAGCGGAGTCGGTCTACCTCAGGAATTTCTTTTTATGTTATAACTGATTGTTTGATTTTTTTCTTCAGTAAAGGCTTGGGAATTTTTTTCACTTATTAGACTATAGGTCAAACACGCAACCAAGAGAAGTATTTTATGAAAATTATTTAAATACTGCATTTAAAGAAAGAAAGAAAGAAATGTATCATTTTCAAAGTATTAGAATGTACATGAATTTCCAAAGCCTTCCCGTCACACTGTAAAATCCTATAGTTTCAAAATGACAGGGAACATACAATAAGTATACATTTTATTTCTCCAATTCTCTAATTGTGTGGTAAAGGATCTTGCATCTTTAAAGATTAATGAAACATAATTTTGGTTTGTGCTTTTTGCTCCATGTTAATTTTGAGCCCCATTTTAACCCTGTTTAGCTATTTGAGTCTTCAGAGTAGGTTTTCAGCACAGCCTCTGAAAGCATTGTGCCATCCAGAGGCGGATAATGAAAGCTGCTGCCCTGCTGAGTCCAGACACCCTTCCAAAAAGCCTGGAGCCTGCGGGTGATTGCGCCTCCACAGCTCTGAATGAAGGTAATCAGTCACTGTCTCACACTGAGAGATAGGTGAGAATATGCACTGTTCTGCCTCCCCATAGACTGCTCAGACTCTGACACTATTTTACAGTTCATGCAGCAGACAGCATGACGAATGAGGTGACCGCATGCGGTCTCAGGTTTGGTATGAATCACTGAACATTTTGAGTTCATAATGAACAGTAGCTAGTTAATATCCGCACACGAGAAGCATGTGTTGTGTTTTAGAGCTCTCACAGAGCTCTCAGTCATTCCTGCTTCAATAGCACTTTAGTGCAAAGCTGAACAGACAACTGTATTTTCAGCAAACAAGAATCATTGATTCCTCGATTGCTATTGTATGATGCATAAGATTTGGAATACAGCACACAAGTCGAAAACTTTTATGATACTCGTATGGTGCTTTTTGAAGCTTGACAACTCTTGCTTGCTGTCTGCTTTAACTGTATGAGCAGCATAAACATTACGATAAACATTTATAGAGAAGTATTCGTTTGGAAAGAGTGTGAGGGTGATGAATAACAAATAGTGACAGAATTAAAATTTTTACTAGGTAAACTATTAATTCAAAACTTTAACCTACTTATCTGAAATCTACCTAAATATAAGTAAAACCTGCAATTTTTGACATTTTGACACCGGCCTGCGGTCCCCACGAGCGAAAAAAAAAAAAAGATTAAAAATAGTAAATGATGTTTATCTGAAAGTGTAACAATGCAAACAGGTTTTCTGTAAGGGGTAGGTTTAGGGTTAGGGGATAGAAAAATATTGTTTGGTCTGAATAAAAACAGTAGAAGTCTACGAAAAGTCCCCAGAATTCACAGAAACAAACATGCGTGCGTGTGTATGTGTGTGTGTGTGGCTTTACCTCCCACTTTTTGAGTAATAATAACTACATTTAAACTCATTTTGACCATGTGAGGAAAATAACTGTAGGCATGCGTGTAAAACAATAGCTTTTAAGTTAATATTCATGAGCCCCACAGCCTGTCAAGCATAAGCAAGACAGACACGGATATGCTGACAAAATGCAATCTAAGGCCATAATCCACCATCTGCAATCAACCAGTTCATAATTCTCAAAATAGTATGAAAAGTATGCATTTTAATTCATGTTTGCAATCAGATTATGGAAGTTCTATTATAAAAATGGTTGCTTGACTGATGTTATTTAAATAGTTTCTTTATGCTTTCAAATGAAATTCCATATGAATGTATCAAACTACATGCATTTAAACTGTGCTGTGTTGCCTGATGAGATTTAAAATCACTTTTCACATCATTCTGATCCTTCAATATCCAGCTGCACATCCAGTGGCTCTGTTATATGTGACCCTGGAGCACAAAAGCAGTCTTAAGTCGCTGTGGGATATTTGTAGCAATAGCCAACAATACATTGTATGGGTCAAAATTGTTGATTTTTCTTTTATGCCAAAAATCATTAGGATATCAAATAAAGATCATGTTCCGTGAACATATTTTGTAAATGTCCTACTGTAAATATATTAAAACTTATTTTTTGATTAGTAATATGCATTGCTAAGAACTTCATTTGGACAACTTTAAAGATGATTTTCTCAATATTTAGATTTGTTTGCACCCTCAGATTCCAGATTTTCAAATAGTTGTATCTCGGCCAAATATTGTCCTATCCTAACAAACCATACATCAATAGAAAGCTTATTTATTGAACCTTTGACTGGTTTTGTGGTCCAGGGTCACATATATAATAGCTAAATATATATTTATCTCTTCCCTATTACATACTTCTTCATTTTTCATTACATTCTTCTTCATTCTTAATTTTTACAATTAACATGAATAAAATGAGTAAACTGTTACTGTATGCAAAAAAACAATTTAATTTGTATTTATTTAAAAAACAACAACAACAAAACTCCATTACAAAAACTCAGTTATATCATAATAGCTGAAATATCTCCTCCCATTGGAAGAACTCAGATTCAAATGAGGTCCCTTACCTAATATACCTGACCACTGGAATCAACAATGACAGACTCTCTTAAATACAACATGCGCAATAAATGAATCAAGTCTG